ATCCTCAGACATTTTGTTTTCATTTTTGAACGAATGGCAAATATCCCGCATTAATATGGTGACTCCAGCTGAAAGCTTTGATTTTTCATCACCGAAGTCTTCAGCATTTTTAGGGTTATCGTAGGTTTGACCTTCTGGGGTGTACACAGTGCTATTTTCTATGTTTTGCCTTACTTGGTCGGTCAAAGGTGTGGCCCGAAGCACACAGTCTATGGGAAGACCACCACTTTGAAATTAATTTATCATAGTAATATCTATAAGGTTTCAATAACTATAGCCTTTGAGATAAGCTTCATCAAAGGTTTCGACAAATGCTTTTAGGTATATGTCCGGTATATGTCCTTAACATCATTGTTAATGACATGATTGCCTCGTTTGGTATCTGGTGACGCAATGGGCTTGTTTGTCTTCAGCGGTAAGTCGGCCTCTTCTTGCGATATGCCAAGCAGGGTTGTTTCTTTGGCCGACTGTTATCTCGCTAATCCTTACGATTTTTTCCTCATCTAGCTCGGAACTGCGAACCAAACAATCCAACTGCTCTTGAATTCCTCTTCCTCGAAGAAATTCGTCAGAATAAATAATTTCCTCGATAGAAGGCAAAGGCAGCTTGCTGACGATAGTTAGCTCAGAGCTGAGCAAGCCAGTACAGTCCATTAAAGTTTCCATAATTCCTCAGATCTTCATAGAATGTGGAACGATCGGCGTGAGTCGGCGCCCTCAACAAAACACAGTAACATTTTGGCAGAGGGAACAGTTCAGAAACCGCTTGATTTGAGAGTGATGTGTTGGATTTTCTCTTTCTCCACTGGCATTCCACGTCTGTACGGCTTAGATGATAGATCTCATGAATCAAAAGGGCGGCCGCGTGACTACATTTGAACGCTCCTCTTGAACATTCGCATTCGGTTGTTTTTATGTCTTGTTTTCATCTAAGTAAATCTGCAATTGTTTAAAATAAAGGATTATTTGTATGGCAAACAAGATTTTAGGTGAAAAAAGTTGTGGAAAGATTACACATTGGCCGTCGTTACGTAAACAAAGGCCAACTTGTGATATTAAATGTCGGAACAACTTTTGCAAGAGTAACTCACCTTGACTTTGTAAACCTTTTTCATACTTGCGTGAACTTTTCCTCGCAAAATTCACTCTTGAACAAAAGCTCATCTTTCAAACCGGCAGTCTAAATCCCACAGGGATCAACGAACGCTTTTCATTGCACTAATTTATTCGTGTTTTTCTCGTTGCCATGTTCCCACTAATAACGTAGCTCCATTTTCTGCCTTAAAAAGCATACACAACCCACAATTCCTCTATTCGCTCCGACGAAGGGTAACGCTCGAAACGTCAGCTTTTGTAATCGATACGGTGGCCAATTTACCATTTCAACTTTGTTGATATATCCAAATGATATACATGATATCTTTCTTTTATTTTAGGAGTTAACCGGAAATATGGACAGAAACACTGTTTTTCTTAACAAACTGGAGACACGCATCAGAACAAGCTTCATCCGTATTTATCCATGGACTTGGCGAATGACCATAGAAATAAGAATGGAGCTGTATGGTTGTAAAGGTACCGCATATGTAGATACTCTAAAGAGCAGGGAATGAAACTGGAGGGCAGAGAATAGATGGTTCTTTTAGAATATCTATGGTAGTATCGTGGATTTTTTTTCTATGTCTGTTAATCATGAGGGACACGACGAACTTTTTCTAAGGACTACTTCTAGGAGCTACTTTAATCACTTAACTATTTTAGTCTCGAAACTACTCCAGAAAATTAATGCTTTCTTTAATATGCTATTAGATTGGCTTAGACAACTTGAAATATCCTCCCGCTGCAAACCAGAAGTACTTGCGTCTTTGACAATTGCCGTTTAGCAAATTTTGAACTTTGTCCTTATTTATTAGTTTGATGGCTAAGTTGCCGTAGCACTAATTACGAGACCTTGGTTCACTTTTGATTTTTAATCTAAAGCAACACTTTTTTCTTTCAACTGGTTTTCCTAGACGAGTGTTTGAGGTACAAGCCATGTAAGAATGGAGGTACATGCGTTCCTGATTACATCAACGAGAACTACACGTGCATTTGTCCTGAGGAGTTTTACGGGGATACCTGCAGATTAGGTAAATCAGCTGAGTTATACTAACAATGACAAATATAAACCACATATTAATTAAAGCAACTTAAAACTATGATGTTTTTAGTGATGGTAAGTGGATTGGGTGGAATCAAATTCGGGCGAAAACTAAGCATTTACGTTTACTTATGAAGCCTTCAAGAATACGTAACTAAGACGAAATTGGGCGACAAAAGGTCTTGCCACAAATCAGTCTATACTATGAAAGCGATTCACGAAGAACCGCGTGAAACGAGTCCTAATGCCATTGACACAGGCACGATGCCTACATTGGCCCCGTAGTGCTCTTCTACTCCAAGCTGTGACATTTTTGAAATGTGACTGGCCACGGCAAGTAGTATTTCAGCCAAAATTGAATTATTTGCATGTAAATATTACAGTTTCATAGTAACAGAGATGGTATTGTTCCTACTTTAAAACAATGGTGGAAAGATATCCCGATTTTGACACGAAAGGGCTGAAGCTTGAAGAAAACGCAGAAAATGAAAACAGTCTGGAAAACTAGGAGTGAATAAAGATTCAGCTCTGATATTGTGAGCTAGACGCTAAGTAACTTCATGTGAAGCTAGAGACGTTATTCGTGGACGACAGAAGCCAGCATTACATCTTTTGCTAAAAGTGCTCAAAGGGGAAGCTCCTTTCCTTCGTGAACAGGGCTACCTTTAAAAACCGCTGCTGCAAACGTTGCATGCATCAAAGGCACTGACCACGAAAGAAGATCTTTTGTAGTCCACAGAGTTCCTTGGAAGCCTGTCACCAAGGCTCCTAATAGCGATGATGTGGTTTCTTTTGACGCAGAATTTTGGATTACGCGGCTGGAATGAACACCTCGAATTGTTTGTGAAACATTTTTCATTCATTGCAGACGACAGTAACGTATGGTATAAATAAAAAGTAGTATGGTTTCTGCAGGATATTTCGGATAAACACCTGCTCGTAATATTTCAAAACCCCTCAAATATTACCTACTGCCTCATGCTCGTGATATTCTGGTGGATTTTGAGACATCACTAGCCGGTGTTTATTCCAAGTACCTCCTAGAAACTGTATCATTGCCAATCACGTTCAGGTATTTTGTTAACGCCTGGCGTTCAAAGTTTTGAGGTATATGTCTAAAGCCCGTATGTTTTTGTTTTTTGTTATAACTTTTTCTTTCCATAACAAATCATTTATGACTTTATAACGACTCCTAGTTGCGAAAACTCTATGCTAGCATTTAAATTGACCATTAACAGAATTGCAGCATTTATTTAACAGGTAACTTATGCAAGCTTACTAAGCCTTGCTTAAATGGAGGTACCTGCTCACCAATCAGATACTGGCCTTATTTCCAATGCAATTGTTCTTCTCCTCACATTGGATTCAACTGCAGAGCCCGAATAGGTAAATAGATACAGCTCACCTTAATTCCTGGTCGGACACGCGAAAAAGCACATAGAAAAACAGTTAGTGAAGAGCGAGGAAAAACGAAGAAACAAATAGCAAGAAGCATAAAAAGCAAAGCAAAGCAAAGCAGAAAACAAAACAACAACAACAACTACGAATAAAACAAGGACTTAAGTTGAAACAGGAACTTGAGCCAACACGACAAAAAGAAAATAAATAAGTAAATAAATAGATTGGTAAAAAAATAAAAAGCAAACTTATACGGAAAGGCAAAAGGCAAAAACAAAAGCAACTAAAAGCAAAAGCGAACAAAAAAAAAGGAAAGAAAACAGAAAGAAAACAAAACAGTGATTCTGCAAGGTTGAATCAAAACCACGCAAAGTCTTTTAGAAGTTACGAGAAGTTTTAAACGATTAAACAATTGAGTAAGTCTCCAAAGCACAAGGACTTTTGCCATTTTTTTTGTGGCATGATATAGCATAGATGATAATATCCTACACAACCTCATTGAAAAAATTGTTTTTCATTATTGTATAACAGAAATCAAGGAAAGCCCATAATACTTTTCTCTTTCTACAAGTAATCCATGCGATCTAAAGCCTTGTCTCAACAGTGGCACTCGTCAGTCTGTAGAATCCTGGCCGTACACCCAATGTTCTTGTCCTTCTGGATACTCTGGTTTTAATTGTGGCATCCTCATAGATTTGAAACAGCATGTTTTAAATCAGAAAACTGTAGTTTGCAACGGTTTCCGCGATACAATGTGTTCACAAGTATGAAAATTTACCTCCCCACTATCTCTCATCACTTGAGAAGACAGATGGGTACTAGGGATGTAGTATGGCTACCTGGCAAAATGTTTGCAAAATATCGAATGCCCTTTCATCCCGTTTACAGAGGAACCGTAAAAATGTTCTTAGTCCCACAACGTTGCAGCAAAAAGAAAAAGAGGGAACTATTTCGTCAACTAGACCAGTATGATGATATGCAGTCACAAAAACCCTCTATAGACCTTAATCGATGAAGAGCAATCGGATCAAGAAATCAAAAGCAAGCTTTTGATTTCTTGACCCAATTGCTTGACATCTCCTCAGTTTGTCAGTTTCTCGGGCACCCACGTCGATAGTTCTTTTCATGATTAATCTCATACGAAACCATCAGAAGGATTTTTAATTTTTTTTTTTTTGTCATTCTTTTTGTCAGCCTAATTTCTTTGCAATTAAAACCCGTATCCAATTTCTTCCAGCTTACCGTTGCAATCACAACCCTTGTCCACGAAATTGGACTAGTGGGACGGAAAAAAATGACATTGGTTTTGAATGTGATTGTTCTTCCGGATACTGCGGTTCAGAACCGGATAAACCAATCATCCCCCATGAGTACTTTCTTTGGGGAATTCTCAAGATACATTCATTTCTCTCTAAGCGAAATTTGAATCGTGCCACTTTTTCGCATCCTTCATTACTATTACATTCCTACCAGTCTACAATCAAGCAGTCAAAGAAAGATATGACTGATTTGACACCAAATAGAAGCTATTGTAGGTTGGCCAGAAAATTATACTGTGCGACTACATTATGGCTCATCAACTCTTTTGTTTCTTAGACTGAGAGGTATTCAGCTAATAGAGGGACGGTGTTTGAATGAGCAACAAGAAAAAATAAATCGAACTCGTGTTTCTGTTGAAAGATAATTCTAATTAAAATTTAAGCCAAAATTATAGGCAGACGCTTGCCGCTCCCAAAATACGCCAATAAGGTAAAAAGAAAAATTGATCGTTTTCACTAACATTTTTTTGATACCCTCTGTATGCCAATCTTACCCTTGATTGCATAAAGGAACGTGTTTACCAGACAACGTTGTATCAGGAGATTTCAAATGCGACTGTCCTGCAGGATATGTTGGATATAACCGTGAATATGCAAAACGTAATCTGAAAATAAAGTTTTTAAAGGAGGGTTTAAATGGTGTAACGGCTTTCACGGTTTACGGTCTAAATTTTGGTTATTTTACGGCTAGCGATTGAAGTCCTTCCTTTACGATTAAAACCAATATTTTTTACCGTTAACTTTATTTTTTTTACGATTAACAATCAAAATGCGTCGAATTTTATGATTTACCGCTAATTTTTTGGCCGTTTTACTGTTAAAGGTTAACCCCAATGACACCCCCCTAAAGACCTTTAAATCAAAAGCAAAAAGTAGAAATTCAGGGTTTTAGCTGACGGAGCGACAGTCGTCGTAAGGCTGTATTTTGTTCTCTTTGAGGGTTAGACTTTCTCGTATTTTTTTTAATTGAGTAGCTGTGCTTTTTTCAGCATTGTAAGCACCATAGTGGTGATTTTATCTTCCCGGCCATGTTCCTCCCCATTATCTCTACAACCGATCAATTCTCTTTCTGTTTCTCGTAAAAAAAGCAAAACCAGAACGGCCAATCAGGAAAAAAAGGTATATACCGCGACGACCACTGGGAACCAAAAGGATATGCATGCAAAGGAACTCAATCATCGGGGAAGTTATTTCCCAAGTCCTGGTTGATAAATTACTTTTGCGTCCATTGGCTTAACACTTGGTTGATTTTCTAAACCTATTTCGAATCAAATGGGAGCAAAAGGAACGAAATCCGGCAGCACGTTCTACCATCAATTATGCATCCATTAATTGATTCTTTTAGTTGTATCAGTTACCTGGTAAAAAAAGGAATTGACAATGCTGCATTTTAGACATTATGTTAGTAGCAGTAGCCTCGTCTGACTATTTAATTGAGTTTGGAATGAATTCGAAAAACACATGAGAAATTACTAATGCGATAATAAAATCCTGTACATTTTTACATCAGAGCATTTCGAGGCTAAGTTTTTTTCTATAGATAATACGTGCTCCACCAAGTCTTGTCGCAATGGAGGAGTCTACAAACCCGATAGTAACCCGCTGGGTTTTGAATGAAACTGCCATTCAGGATATATTTGATTTAACTGTGGCATCAAGGAGGGTAATATAGGCTCCTATGATAGAATTTCTCTTACCAGGGCAACTGCTAAGTCGATAAACCAGTGGATGTTTTAAAGCATTCAATTAGTCGAGTTTGTCAATCAGATAGTAATCAGTCAGTATGTAACCTAACCTACCACTCACTCACAAATCTTAAGAAAGGTAAACAGTCCACTTATTATTAACTTATAATTAACTTTTTTTCATCAGGTTTCGTTTCTTAAAACGTACATGAAAGGTGGCAAATTTCCTTTCTAATACCAAGTTTAGATCAAACATAACAGGCATTATAAGGAGACTGAGTTAGAGAGTTCCGTAGCGTATGTTTTGTGCGTGCAGTTAACCTAGTGTCATATTTCAACAGACGATCCGTGTTCAGGTCCACACAACAAGCCTTGCAAAAATGGTGGAACATGTACGAAGCAGACAAACGCAGTAGGATACACATGCAAATGTACATCGGAGTATATTGGGTTTGACTGCAGCTTCCTGAAAGGTGATGCGTATTCTAGAAACGTATTTTATCTTAAAGAATACTTCCACTAATCTAACAGGGCTACGTTGTTCAAGCCTGGGTCAAGATAATCAAGGGTTTAAGTCAAACCTGATTTCAAGTCGAACGTTTTTAAATAAAATCTAGTATGATATTTTGTTTCCATAATTTGAATTAGATGCTCTTAAAAGAACAAATCTGATTTCAGGTTTGAAAGCTGTAATTAACTGCTCTAAAGTGAATAAAGATTAAAATTTAACCTTAAATTTGAGCCTATCAGCCCTCGAACAGCTTAACACTAATCGTCGTTAAATTAGCCAAAAAAATACATTTGCAGTAATTGATATACTTAGAGCGAGAAAATCAAGCCAGAAATGGGCTGCTTTCAAACTGGGATTTTGTGTGTAGTAATGTTGAATTGTACGATGTGTTACGGTTGCCACCATGATCTGTATAATCCCACTGGGACTCGCGCGATTAACAGAGCTTAGTGTTTGTTGATAATAGTGGCGACGTGTCAACGGTATAACGTAAGATTAGCAAGAATATGGTCCTCCTGGAAGAATTCCATGTCTAGGATCTCCATATTTTGGTTTAACAAGGAAAACGGTTGTCTCAAAATCTCATTTACCAACATGGCTCACTTTGAATATGTCAGTCTGTATTGAATCTAGCTTGTGCTTGGAGAGAATTGCAAAACTTCTCCACGCAAAATTCAGGCAGTTGGTCCTGCCTTGTTGTCTTCACTAACGCCGTCTTTTATGCCTCCACAGACGATCCTTGTTTTCCTAACCCTTGTCAAAACGATGGAAATTGCACCAGGGACGATGGTCAGAAGAATTTTATTTGCAACTGTGCCTTTGGGTATACTGGTAGAAAATGTCGGAACCTGATAGGTAAGTTAGTCCAATATCATCTAGTATCAGTTTGGTGTTAATTACCATTTGGCAATCCTATCAATAATGGCAATATGACTGGGTGTAGTCACACCAATTCCGTCCGTAGTTAAGCTCGATAATAAACAAAATAAAAAAAATTCAAAAGCGGGAACCCGACTAGTAACTCGCAAGAATTATCACAGAAAGAATTGCGAGACACGAATTCCGGTTACCAATTAATCTAATTAAAAAAAAATTCAAGTGAAAAAGAAGCCATCACTTAAACGTTTTCACTAAAAAACTACAACAGCAGCAACAACAGACAATAACAACAACAGTTAGCGCAGTAAAATGCGCGAGAATCGACGTTTATTCTACAGTGACGCGTCAACTGTCTGATCAAGCTCAAGTGATATTCAATCGCGTTCGACAATGCTGTTACTTTAGTCAGTGTTGAAAGGTGAACTATTGATGGCAAAAGTTCATTCAGTTAAGTTTCAAAACGTGCAAAATTGATAAAAATTTGGCGATATTTCTAAGCCTTTTTGCCCTTCAGTAGGAATGCACGTTCTCTACACTGTTCTCTATGCAGTTCGCATGGAATGGACGACGAGAATTACTTAAAAAAAATTGAGTTTCTCCGGTTGATGATGATTATTGTCCTTGAAGTGAACTACGATGGTTGATACTGTAATGATATTATATGCTGGTCACTCTTAATGGATAAAGTGCCACGAATGGAAAGCACAATAATTTGTCCAGGAACTGAGTCATCCAAGTTTAATTTCCTAAGACGGACCATAGTGATAAAAGTTTTAAACACTTTGAACCCTAACATCAGTATGCAATTCACCCGCGAGGTTCTTTAGAGATTTCCTTACGACATTATGATAGGAGAAACCGTTTTAAGAATGAAAAGTTTCCATGTATTTTTGGTTATCGTTTCCTTTCTTCTCATTGCCTAAATGTTTGATCCAGCCTTAATACTCTCAGGATAAATTAGATGCTAGTCGTTCTTAGTGGTTAAAGGGTCAAAGGCATTTAAAGTCCTTTATCAAACGTGCTTCCTTACTGGTGAAGTTCTCAGGAATTGGAAGGGTATGGATGGAATGATAAAGATCCTTATTTCTCTTTAATAACACAAGTTCATGGGAACTGGAGTCACTGGACACCATGGCCAAACTGTAACAAGCCGTGTAACAATGGAACAAGAACAAGGAGGCGCGCATGTGATAACCCTAGCCCAGCTTTTGGTGGAAACCAATGCGAAGGTTTATCCTCTGAAACTGAACCCTGTAACCAAAACAAATGTCCAGGTAAGAGCTCTTTGCATCTTTTACTTTTGTTAGCCTGTTAAATGTTGCATCCAGGAGCTAAAAGGTCAAACTGAGGTGACGAGAAAGAAATGGAAGTCGCTTGTCATGCTGACTTTGAATCCTTCTTCAGCTAAATTCACCTTCCATAGAACAGGTTTACGTCTGTTTTACTGGCATATAACCTCTAAATATATTGCTTCCCGTGTGGAGTGTTTCTGTCAATCAATCCGGTCTACAATGGCGGCCGCCATAGCGCCACATATCTATTAATTGTGTAGTCCATGAAACAGATAAAAATTAAAAATAAAATAATTAATAATAATAATAATAATAATAATAATAAAACGTTTGCTCGCTTTTCTTTTCTTTTCAGTCGAAATTGTGAACTACCAGGTTAAGTTAAGAGGTGAACAATGGGAAGATTCTCTTGCAGATCTTGGGAGTGAAGACTACGCAAAACTTGTGGATAGAATAAAAGATGCTGTAAGTACATTCTTTCCATAATTTCTTTTCGTCAGATTTTTAATTCACCAAATGAGTTGAATTTGAAATTGTTGGCCATTGATGTTCAGAGAAATGTGTCTATTTTATTTTCTCTTCAAGGTTAACGACTTATACTACAGACGAGATGAAAACGTAACAGTTGATGCACTAAATTTCCGGTAAATCTTTCCTTTTTAGATCAATAAAAATGTTGATATCGTTATCCAACGTTTGCAGTTGGTCAACAAAGCATTTAGAAATCAATATATAGTCAAACCCGTAATGAGGGGCACTGTGTTAAGCAGTCACCCTGAATTAGGCTTTCGGTTGTTAAAATCCCGAGTTTACCTCCCTTAATCACTGTAATTCTCACCTCTATTTAGCAGCCACTTCTGTTATCCGGTCACCTCTATTGAGTGGTCGCAGTGACCCTTTACTAAATCCCAAGGGTGTCTTTTTATTGTCCTCCACCAGAGTTGAACAGCGACTGAAAGCGGTACCACACTCATAAACTAAGAATAATCTTTCGAGCAATTTGTTATCCATTTTTTTTCTCCCAAAATCAAAATAAGAGGTATTTTCGAGCGAGATTCTGTACTAAGGGGTCAATTATGGCATAAGGTGGAGTTGGTTATCGTTTTTTAAAAAAACCCTAATATATAGAACCAGCTGCTTAAAGCGGTCAACGTGTCTTAAGCGGCCACCTGCCATTTCTCGTGGGTGACCGCTTGATACAGGTTCGACTGTAATCAAATCTATAGTCTCTTTTCCTGCTCACCAATACAGCTCATAATATATACATTTCCTCGTTTTTAAAATGTTCAGAATCCCTTTTTTTTAAACGTCTTGGTTTGTATATCGTCAGTCGTTCTAACAATTTGTTGTAGGCAAGGAAGTGTTATCTCAAGTTTCAACGTCACGTACCAGAGCATAGACTCGTTACAGATTGTCTCTCTACTGGAGGAAATAGAGGAAGGAAAACTGGGGCACATATTTGCTGAGTTACTCAAAATCACAACCCGTAACGGTATGCATCGAACATTGTATCAGCTCAAGTCAATAACGATTATATATGTCTGCGATATTGAATGAATAATGCTCAGAAGAAGAACATTCCCAAGAGTGTGACTTCATCTATCTAAGACGTGATTTTATTCTTAATATCACCTTTTTAGTTTTTGTAAATATATTTCTGTGTAACGGACGACAGTCTCTGATTTTTCACGTTTTGGGTCACGTGTGTCATTTGTCATTGAACAGAAGGTAGCAATGGCGTCAGGCTAAAAGTGATATGTGACGCGTAAATTTTACAGAAAGGCAAGCGTGACTTGTGAGTTTATGAACCGTCGTGAGGCGGGAATTTCTCCCTGAAATATGCATGACTCGTGATATTTCTTTCATTTCGTGAGAACGGGAAGATTTCCCTGAAACGTTTAAACGCTGTTAAGAAAAAAAACAAAAAAAAAACAAACAAAAAACATAAAAAAAACACACACAAAAAATGCATATAAATGTTATATATATATATAACTGCAGACAGTACTGTTTCGGCCTTCTGGCCCTCATCAGTGCAGTGCTAATGCTAGGATGGGGGCTAATATATATATATATTAGTTAGATAGCTCTCGCTTGGCTTTGCCTTTTGGCTACCTTGCGATTGAGCACTAATGGGTCCGTGGCCGGGGGCGCCTGAAAAACAAAAAAAAAAAACTCTACACTGGGGTTGCCATGCACTTAGCCTTCGGGCGAAGCTCATCACCTTAGTTGTGATTTGAGCACTCTCGCATGGCAACATGTCTGCACTTGGTCCCACAAGTGTAGCGCCCAGGCAATGGTTTATTCCAGAGCTTGGCCCAGTGTCTGCACTGCACTGATGA